GCTCCGGCAGTACGCAAGGGGGGAAGCCAATAAGATGGCTGGGAGAGAGTACTTGCTCTGGCACTAGGATCACTATTCTACATTGAACAGGTGGAGAAGGCTAATGGATGTGGGGGCAGAGAATGTACTTGTCCTAACTAAACCAGATGCTTAGATGCCACAAATTAGCTTCCATAAAAGCCCAGCCTGTGGGTAGATACAATATTCAAGAAGGGCAGCCATGTTAGTCTGGAACTTGTATATTAAATAATAATAATAATAAAACACACACACACACACCCACCCATCCCTGAAGCCCTGCCTCCAGGCTAAGAGTAGATCTCTCCCCCTCCTCCAGTGGAACAACATATTATGCCCCACCATTGGGCACTCAGAAGAATTTGAGGATTTCATTTAGAAGGAGGATATAAACTGACATAATATGTCTACACGCTACCTGGAAGAAGGTTTCCACATACTGCAGTAAGTACACCCCACAATCACTGCTGTTATCCTGTTTCGGGACTCTGGGACAGAAATCCAGCATCGTTGATTTGCTGAATTCCCGGTGTGTTTTTCGTTTAGCTTCCCACTCTATTTCCAAGTACCTGAAAGAGAGTAAGTTAAACACTCACATGGTGGATACCTAAATTCTGACCTTTTTGGGACACTGCCTGTTCTAAACAGTTTGGAGTAAATGCCACAATTTTCTAACCAGCTTCCTTATGCAACCTGTCAAAAACTCACTTGAAAGAGTACAGATAATTCCATGGTTCAGCATCATGTTATATTTACATGTGTCCGTACCAAATCATGAATATCATGCAGGAGATAGCCATAGTATAGTTTAATGGGAAAGTAATTGTGGCCATCTCTCTGTGTAGTGTTTCCTCAAGTCATTAGAAAGACATAACATTTCTTAAACTTGAAGGAAATCATCATACAGATTATAAAGTGTTCAAATCACACACACACACGCATCTTGTTTGCGCTAAGCAAATCATAAAACTAATGTCATAATTTAAATGAGGAACAAGTAAAATGTCAGCAATTTGAACTCTCCAGCATACCCTATCCATGTTAAAGACTAAATGAGTGTCTTCAGGAACCACCTTTATAACATGAGGATGCCAGACATTCATTGGACTTCAGACTATTCTTACCATTCACTGCAATTCACAGCTGTTCCATTAACCACCAGAAGGCTCCCCTATTGCCCTCTGACTGCAACAACTACATATTGAGCCAAATGTTCAAAATTGCCCACTAATTTTGGATTCCTTGGGACATGTTGGATCTGATTTTCAGAAGTACTACCCGCTCCGCCTTCTACTAACTTCAGCTAGAGCTACAAGCATCTAGCGCTTCTGAGGCCTCTCAGAAATGAGCACCCTAAAGTCACCCCATTCCTGAAAATATGGGCCACTGAGAAATGCAACGTACACACCAGATTGAATGTAAGGGTTTCAGAGTTCAATCAAAGATCTGTGTGCTTATTTCATAGAGTTTAGAGTTAATTTACCATGGGCCCGACTGCTCTCTCCTACAGAAAACCCACAGAAACGTGTATGGAGAGGGGGGAAATCTGTAGAAAGAAGGATCCCCACACTGGGTATGGATGCTTTGCCTCCCCTAACTAGAAACAGCTTGGGAGCTGCATCCATAGCCTCACAGATGCCGCAATTTCCATTCCCTGATCCCCCGCAGTCCTCCTTTGGCTTACTATCGCTATGCTCCAGCAGACTCATACTTAAAGATCTGTCCATTCAGGAGCAAGTAACCCTTAATGTCCGTGACCGGAAAAATTCCACGCACAGAGGGAATTATACTGCTGGGCTTATTCCTTAGCAGGACTCTGACAGAGTTGTGGGAGGATGTGTGCTGCATCCCTTCTCCCTCCACGCACCCACAAATCCTTGAACTGAGGCAGAACTCTTTGTGGAGCCCTCTACAAGTCCTACCTAGGATGTGGAGAAGACAAAGAAGATCATCCTGCAGACTTTACTGAGCCTGGGCTGCTCCCAATTCACTGGGAGACTGAAGACACATTTATACATGGAAGAGATCCTCTCTCTGTTATCCACAGATTTGTATATTCTGAGGCTGGAAGGACCATTGTGATCATCTAGTCTGACCTCCTATGTAAGGCAAGCTATGGAAATACCCCCAAAGTAATGTCTAAAGCAGATCTTAGAAAACATCTCATCTTGATTTATAAAGAGTCAGTGATGGAGAATGGACCACAACTCTTTGCAAATTGTTGCAATGGTTAATTACAGTACTCTGTTTTGAACCACGGTAACAATCTACCAAGGGTCATGGTGGAGACTCCATCACTGACCATTTTTATTAGGTCTTTCACATTTTGCTCTTTTCATTATATACAACAAACAATAAGAACTACATTTCAGTTCAGTCCTAAGTACCTAATACTGTCAATAGGGTACTGATTCAAAACAGACTTTTTTGTATGCTACGTTAAAGTCATTTGCTCTGTACAGAACTACTGAAAGAATGACGTTCCAATGCTTGGCGTTCAAAGTGTAACACAAAATACTTCCTATCAACTCCCCTTCCACACATGTACTTAAAATAGCGCTTTTGTTCTAATTTAGCCCAAGTTACTACTCCAACTCAAGACATTAACTTCAGGATACGATCGTTTTAAAAATATATACATTTATATTTCCCCTAACTACTTTTATGTTAGGACACAGATTGCAGACATTTCAGGTCTGTTCTTATTCTTCCCTTTCAAGACAGCTACTAATATTTTAATCTGACTAAAGCAGCATGACCAAATTTTTAGCCACTTTCAAACAGGTATCATGTTTTATTTGTGTGCAAAAATGCAGTAACTGCACACAACATTGAACTGCTGCGATTGTACACTCAGAAAACTAAGGGCTCCTCCAAAAATTGGTAATTTAAAAACAACACATTAGGTTTAAAAGAATTACATAACATTCTTGACCTGTATTATCATAACACCTTGGATTATTGAAATGGAGATATATTTTAAAAATTCTAATGTGCTTCTCTCGCTCTTCCTTTAAGGCACTATATTTACCTAGGATAATTAAGTGGGATTCTAATTATAGTCAACCCTACAAAAAGATGTTTACAAACAAACAACAGAAATTGGTATTGTAGGCTGTTGCTTAAACTTCTCTATTGTTCCTAGGTTTTATACTAGGGATGTTAAATTGTGTTTAATCAGCTAATCGAGTAGTCAATGGAATTTCCATCGACTACTCGATTGCTGATAACGGGAAACTGCAGAGCCGCAGTGCTGGGAGCTAACCCCATTGCGGCTCTGCATTTTAAACATATTGAGAGCCCCACTAGCCTCTGCTTCCCCGCAGAGATGGTGCAGGGGGAAACCGGCTTTTAAGCTGTCGCACCCTGGCACCAACTCCTGCTCCCCTACCCTTCTTGCTTCCTCTCTCTGATAGAGGCAGTGGTGGGTGGGAGGAAGCGACTAGTCGAGTCGCTACTCAACTAGTTGCTTACATACCGATTTTGTACAACTTTTTAAAAGAATATAACTCATACATTTTGGGTTTAAAATCTGCCATGATAATGTACCTTTCTATTCCTTGAGAATAAAACCAAAGCTGCTGTTACTTACTCTCTCAAGATCTGAACTGTGTTCTGCACAGAACTTGCTTTCAAGGAATCCAAGATGAGTATACACGGCCTGTTGACAGCAAAACCAAAAATTAGTTTAATCTTTTGTTAGGCTGATTAGTTGAGTGGAAAAAGTGTTTTTTATTTAAGTGGAAATGAGTAGAAAGGTCAAGTAATTAACCAGGAAACCTGAACATAGCATCTTTAAAGATATATTATAGGTCAAGCTGAATTAAGTGGTCAGTGTCACTGCCACATTACTGAATACTGACACTTCAATTTTGTTACATTATAAAAGTATAAACTTACCTTCTACAAACTTTCTTTAAAATGGAATTATTTAAAGTGCTCTGAAAAACACAAAATAATTGTAAAATTGTACAAACTGTATCCCGAAAAAGCACAAAAATCACATCATATTTTTATATCTTTAGTATAACATGTAACAAAATGATCAAGAAACTGAAATACCTATTGTATATTCAAAACAACCAAACACGACTATTTTACTGAAAGCTAAAGCATGTTGGACTTCAACATGAATTCTGAAATTATAAAATTCTAACAGAAGACTCATTAAATAGTATTTTTTTGTTTTTAAAAATCCTTTAAAAACAGCCAATGGATTTGTTGTTCGCATGTTAAAGTTTATAGTTATCATTTTAAAAAGACAGAAACTGACTAAAGAGGTATACAGGGAAATCAATAGAAACCACACAAAGTACTATCAAATGCGCAAAGTAAACACTGATTAAAATAGAGAAATGTTCCCCCCATAACATCTTTCAGTTCTACTAATTTTAAGTGCTATAATAAAAACTTTTTTCATATAAGTGAGATTTTCCTGTAACTGGAGAGTCTTGGAAATGTGTGGTCCCTAACTATATTCTACACCCGTGGTCCCCAACACGGTGCCCGCGGGTGCCATGGCGCCCGCAGGGGCATTTGCATGCGCCCGCCAGGTGCTCGGGGCTGGTCTGGCCCCGGACACATGGCGCGGTGCTTGCGGGGGGGAAGCCCCGGGCGCCCGGCGCTTGCGGGGGAGGGGGG